CGACAAACAGACTGGAGGTGCCCAGACTTACCACACTTGTGGCACTTGGCATTGCGAAATTTACAAGTCAGTCAAGAGTGTCACCTACCGCATGATTTGCAAGGGTTCCACTGGCGGATGTCATTATTTGCAGATTGTGTGGACGTCGGACTGTAATTAACAGCTTTGTTGACACTTTTGAACTGCAGGGTCTGCTGAGCTTCGAGCGTTGACCAACGATTGTGACTGAACAATACTTTCCGCTCCTCACGTACGGCCGCACGTACATCCTGATGTTGTTCACAGACCACCTTTGCGGTTTTAAATGTACAGTTTGGAATCAAGAGTAACTGCCGCTGTAGCTCAGGACAGTTAATTCCAGCAATAAGTCTATCACGGAGCTGAGTTTGAAGCTAGTCTTTGAAATTACAGCGTGCGACCGAGTCTGCAACTGAAAAATGAAGTCTCGGACAGACTGATTAGGACCACGAGCAAGGTAATGGAATTTCTCTCGCTCAGCTGCTTCAGAGTTGACTGGCTGGAAGTGCTTCAGTAACAGATCCTTGAGTTCTTCATACTTCAGCTGTATTGGTGACTCTGGGAATGCCAAATTTTTAATCAGCGCATAAACTTTCTTCCCAATAGCTGAGAGAAAATGTGCTGTCTTCTTCTCGGCGTCCAGACATCAAATCTCAAAACGCGCAAATAATCTTCTACATAACGTAAATTCGAATGAATATGAAGAATTTCCAAGTTGCAGGTGTCCATAATGAGATAAAAACCGGCCGCGACGCCAAATGTGGTATTCTGTACTTAGTATCGGGAGTTGAACCGCAATAACCCGCGCAATTAAGCTACAACTGAACCAGTACGCAGTATGGAATAGAACTCCAGGATATTCGAAGTCAGGTTTTGTATTACGCGCCGAAATTGTACAAAGCAATCGATCATGTAATGAAACAGGAATGTTCAGTTTATACACAATCACCACAGGTACGCATAAACTCTCGAACCATAAATCTTTCCCCAAACGTAACCCAAATCTCCAAATATGATTAAATTTCTAGAAACAACGTCGCCCGTCAGTAGTCCACAGCAAAACAGGCCTGTGAGTTTCGCTGATGCTTTTAATTGTTTTCCACAACCTCCTATTACCCACAGCAAGTGCTCTAGGATGACTGACTTCTTCCAAATTGACCAAAAGCCCAGTTCAGCAGGTTGGATGTCGTTCTGCCCTCCTGCCATCACAAGGAGGATCCAGAGGATTATCCAAGAAATCCAGGATCATAGATGAGGCCAAGCTTTTCGGCCCTGGTTACTATAGCTAACTCAAAGCCGATTTCTTCTGCACTAACTCGTCCTAACCAATCATCGCAAGGTCAGCGTATTATCTTGGTTAATAAATTTTCAAATTGAACTTTGACTTCTTATTGATTATCTCCGTGTGAGGGACGGTAAAAATTCAATCCTAACGATAGCGCCTCTGACAATATTGTGTCCATAGTCAAATAGGAAAAGTGGTGAACATACCGATCTGTATCAGTTGGTAATTTTGACCATGGCTTCATATCATGAAAATTTGTACTCACAAACTACCTCACTGACAGCGGCAACAAAAGAAGCGGTTGAGCATTTCAAGGCTACCTTAGTAGACTGTTCTTATCAATATCGTAAAACAAAGGAACACCGTAGGAGTCTCATGAACAAGAAGCATTATGAAGTACAGAGAAACCTCAGACAAAATGAAGATATCAAAATTGCAAGACCAGACAAAGGTTCAGGGGACGTTTTACTTGATCGAGCTGATTATGTGAATAAAATGAAGAACATCTTGGGAGATGGATCAAAATTCCTAAAAACGAACGGGGTAAAGGACAAAGCTAAATAAACAGAAGAACGAATCAACTCATCGCTGAAAAATCTTTGAGACCAGAATTTAATTTCAAAGGCTACCTACGAGAAACGTAGACTTACTGGCACCTCCATTCCTCACCTATACGGTCTACCCAGAGTGAATTAACCGGAGATCCCATTGAGACCAATACTGGATATGAGCGCGTCCCCGTATCACCACGTCACTCAATGACTAGCAGAATAACTAGAATTTGTTCGTCGAAATATTGCTCATCACAGCCTGAAAGCTACCTTCGAATTTGTGGAACTTGCAAAGGCACAGAACACAAACGATTTGACGATGGGTTCGGTAGACGTAACGTCACTATTTACAAATGTTTCTCTACTAGAATGTATCGCCTATTTATGCGACTACATCACAAAAGTGATCTAAACATTGGTATCCCCGTAATCAACATGAAAGAGCTATTATTAAGTGCACATTTAATGTACAATTTTTATTCGACGGAGATTTATACATACAAACTGATGGAGTAGCTATGGGTTCTCCACTTGGACTCTTGTTGGCAGATGTTTTCATCGCAACACTGGAAAATCAGGAGCTCCGTGATACGATTGCCTCCCTACCAATATAATGTCCATATGTAGATGACAATTTCGTCCTGATGAATAACAAAGTCTCACTGGAAAGGCTAACAGAAATTTTCAACAAAGCTCACAGTGCTGTCAATTTTAGGTCTGAACTAGAAGCGGAAGGTGCATTTCATTTCCTCGATGTAAACCTAGCATGACT